TGAATGTATATGGTAAATTTTAATTTAAGCCAACTGCTGTTTAAGGAAAATTTGTTAATTTCTGTAATAAAATAATAAAATAATTATAATTGATAAAAGTAAAAAATAAAAAAATTAACTCTTATCAATTTGAAACTTATTGTTTAAATATTGCGTGCTACGGAAGTTTTCTACGCAAATTTTAGCAGAATTTCTGTTGAATAAATATGTTGAATCAAAACTTTACAACACATGTAATAATTTATCTTGTTCCAACCTTTACTGCAGAAGAATTACATTAACAGGGGAGGTAAAACGACCTAATCGATATATTGCATCGAACTTTAGATCCATTAAATACAGGCCATATTGAAACCCTACTTATATTATGAAAGATTATGAGAAGTCCACATACCATCATCATTCATTTCATTGCCAATTTTTGTAATGTCATCCCAGAAGTCATTGTTATTTGACTTGTGCTTTGCTGGCTTGTCCCTAATATTAGCGGATCTGCCTTCTTGTGCTGGCGTAGAGAAGGGATAAACTTTTTTTTCTCAGCGAGAGGATGATGAACCTAATGTGTGTCATTTGCCCTGATTTTATTTTGAATATGCATTAATACAATTAGAGGTTATCTGCAGGAAAACCTCCCAAGAATATTCCTGCAAAACACCCAATAAGTTTATTATTAATATTAATGGTGCCAAGATTTTATGTGCCAATTTGAACTTTAACCTTATTATTAAATTAAAATGTTGATTAAATTAAAAAAGACAAACTCCTTGAATATAAATAAAATTACCCCTTTCTTTTCTATCACCATTAATAATAATTCGTAAACATTTACATTATTATCATTATCATTCAAAATCATTCATTCATTCATTCATTGTTAATGTATATATAATAATGCACAAAATAAACATTATTGTTAATCAATAGACGCATTCAAAAAAAAAAAAGTTTCGGATAAATCTTAATTCTATTCAAAAAAGTCATTTTTGATTGCAATACAGCACATGCTCTGGTATTTTTTTTTGTATATAAATTCTTGTGTCTTTTGTTGGCCTTCATATGTCGTATGTTTAAATATAACATTGTGTTAAGTTCCTGGACTGGAAACTTCTAATTGAGGTCTAGATAAAAAAACATGTGGGGTGTCACTATTATTGTAAAATCTTTTATTTATTTTCTTCAAGGTGAAAACCCCAAAATTCAGACATGCAGGTGTTCTGAAATGGCTTTTCTTTTTAATTATTACAAGAAGTTTAGCAGGTTATATAATGAACAGAAGTTTTATTAAAAACATGCTGTGTCAATGTTTGGTTGGAATAAAAATTATAAAATGGAAAAACCAGAATAAGAAATAATAAAATGTAATAATAATAGGTTTATTTCGATTTCGATTTCAATCAACATTTCGAATCAATCTTAAAATTTGTGAAATAGAACTAAATCGAAATAACCATAGGTTTTCTAGAAGTTTGTCTTTTAAAAACAGTGCACACTTTTCCCCCTCCATCTACTTTTAATGAAAAAGGCAAATAAAGAACTATATATACGTTAAGAACAAATTATTGTTTGTAGTTTTTATAAGCTTCGATACAACATTTGGTGGTCTTCCAGATCTTTTTGAATTGTACAACTAATATCAATATCAATATCATGTATTTATTATTATTATTTTATAAATAGTTTTTGATTTCCTAAATTCGATTTCGAAAGCTTGCTACTATTACTACGCCTTAATTTGGGCGGAATCACCTGATAGCCCGACAATATTTTGTATCAATATATTGTCCCTGTTTTTACTTAATATTTATTTCGTTAGAAATAATACCATACTAATCAATTTGCGGGTTGGGAGAGTGCCATAAATATAATAATAATAATAATAATAATAAATAATAATAATAATAACCATAATAATATAAAATATAAAATATAAAATACAATCAACCTCCATTTTGAATGAATTATAATCAAGTTCGCGTTATTATTACAATGATTTTGTCACATAAAAAAACTTGATCGGAAATTTGGGTATAAAAAAATTTTAAATGAAATTTTCTCTTGTGTCCCGTAGATTTGTTGAAAGGAGATAACTGATAACAAAAATAGACAATTAAAGATAATTAAAAATAAAATAATAAATGATAATGATAATAAAGGAAAATAATACATTAATATATAATGGGATGTTTTTTATATAAAGAGACGACGATCATCATTTAATGTTAATTATGTTAATTTATTAAGCAAAGCGAGTGTTGCACATAATAATGTTGTTGTTAACTAAAAAAATTGTTGAACCTGCATTTAGTCCCTTTCTGTAAAAAATACTCCATATGCAACAAAATATGCTATACCACAAATTAGTCAAATTTCAATTGTACTACCAATGCCTTTCATAAAGAAAAGTGTTTCCTTTGAAACAAAATTTCATCACTATCATTCGTTCAGGACTTTAAATAAACAAATCCTTCTGCATGATTGTTCATGGCCGTATGCATTAGAAATAGACATTCACAATTTAGATTGAATTTGATTAACTGTTTCATAAACCTTTGTGTGTTTGAGGAAACATTACTAACACATTCATTTTCACCTCAGATAAAAACCAAATTACAAAGATTTTAATCAATAATATTTAAAATATTAGGAATCAAGGTTATATTTTTCATTATCTTCAATTTTAACAAAAATGTCTACTTTTAAAGTGAGTTTTTTGCGGCTTATTGGTCTTTGGCATTTAGCTTCATTTCAACCAAAAAATTAGCGGTCAAATACTTGAAGGATGGTAACTGAAATTTGTAAATTACTGCAGAGTAAAAAACCTCTTTGACCAACGAAAGACTAATCCTAGAAAACAAAACACAGAAACAATTCGGAAGTGAAAGAATAAAGAGACGCGGAGCAATGAAGATGAAGATGAAGATGACGATGATGAAGGAAGTAATAATAGAAATAATGAAAGTGTAACATATATTATCTATATTATCGTTAGAGTGACCAAAGAATAGGTAATAATGGCTTTAGTCAAATTGTTTTCATTTCATGCAATAATTTATATAAACTATGTATCATTAATTGAATTAAAATATAAACACACAACCTATTACTATATTTTAAACCTGTCCTGTATACTACATTATCATATAATAAATAATTTGATTTGATTATTATTGACATGTTTTTCTTAAATAAAACCTCCCAAGTAATAATAATATGAAATCCTAAGGAAAAGCCACATGATAACTTGACAAGCAATATATATATATATATTATATTTAAAATGTAACTTTTATCCCTGTTCCAAATAGAAATGGCTCCGAGTAAATTATAGAATTTAAAGACAAATAAAATAAATACCAACAATTGTTATTTATATCTGTAGAAAATATTCCCCCAAAAATAAAATCAGTGATATTAAATCTGACATATTAAACTATCCTTTCCAACTCATGCTAATGTTTGTTTTGTAAGCCCTTTTCGGGGCAAAATGTTTCTTGCACATAGGAGTTCTTTAAAAGATAAAGAAAGAACTTGAATACAATTAATTTCAATGAAGTTCAGACCTGCACTTTCCACTCTGTTTTCTATTCTTCAATTCTAGGGACTAACATTTGAACTTTGAAGTAACATTTAATATGAAGATCTTAGATACTATTCGTTAATCCTTCAGAAGCGTAAAAAGCATTAAAGCTGCTTAAAAAACATTCAAACATAAGAGTACACACCAAATATACAGAATTCTCATTCCCCACAAGGACAAAATATAATACTTCCCAATTAAGTGACTACTACACATGTGGAATTTTAGCGAAATCACCAAACAAAAATTTGATGCTTTTCATTAATATTAATGTTTTTGAAGGCGCAAAAGTTGTAAAGTATTTGAAAACAAAGGATCAATATCAGCTGGTGGAATATCTTCAACAAGGCGAGGCAAAAGAAAAAGATGGCATGGGATCATAAAGAAAATGTCAATAGGGTTTTGTAAAGATTTCTATTCCTATTTTTTTTTTAACATGCTGTACCGAGAGAAGACAATATTTTCCGATGAATTAAAAGTTTAATTAGTCTGCAGAAAATTGAATCAGTACTTTTTAATGCAAAAAATTGCCGACGTAATCATACATACATCTCTTCAAAAGCCATTGCAATAACATTGTTGTTTATTGGATAAATTTTATGATGGTATGCTGCAATTATTATACTCACAAGTTCTAGATGATATTCATAAGTTTTATGCAAATATGTTAATACTATATTAGTACCTGAATCTGTTGATAATAAATTCGTGTCTGGGATCTTAAAGAAGTTGTATTTATGTTCCAAATAGAGCTGAGCGTATAACCCTAATGAGATACTTGGCTAAGCTATTAGTAATATGTTAAGCCAATACATTAGTTATTAAATTTGGATTTTGTCTCTTTACACCAGTGGTCTTGGTCCCAAAGCCATACAAGCACTGTTACGTGACTTTAAATTTTAACATCATAAAATGTTATCGCCACCGGTTCAAAAGACTCTACTGATCAATCATGTCATTTTATTATACTGCTGATAGTAATCGATTTAATGATAATCCATATTTCCTTCATAATATTAAAGGTCACAATGATTCTGTTTGTGCTTTAACAGATGTAGGAACATCTTAGTTAATGGTGGTTGTGATTGCACTGTTACCCTGACTGGTGAATGCATATAGCGTCTACAAGGACATACAGGTAAAGTTTATTGTGTGTGGTTTAGATATTAAAAGAAAAATATGTATGAGTGGAAGTGACGATCTCGAATGGCATGATGCGCTTTAGACATTCCTTTTTTATTGTAACATCAATTGATGTTATTTAAGCCTATTCATTTTGTTCAGATCCACTTTGTATCTCACGCAATTACATTGTTGATGGTTTAGCTCGAATCAGTATTTATGTGGGAATTCCAATGGTCATACATCCAAGCAAATGATTGAGAGTATGATAATATGTATTTGCCATGATAAAAATAAAATTATGTCCAGTTCAGTTGTATATATGGAATATCAAAGTTTGTGATCTACTGTCAGGCAGGACTAAAAATGTAATGTATTATTATTTTACATTTTAATGATTTTTTTAGAATAAAATTGAAGCGACTTACATGTTAATCAATTTAATCAACTATCACCAAGTGAGGTTTAATGAACGGAGATGTGTTTCATCAGTACAAGAGGAGGGTGAGCTTGGATCGGATTTTTTGACTATTGGTATAGGCCTAGTTGTACCCATGAAGATGGAAACTGGGTCTCCAAAAGAATAATTGTAGGATAAATTATTCTTGTCATCATTACTGCACCATACTATCATACCATTAACATAAGATCGTTGTTGTTTAGTCGATTTGTTTATGATTGTTTAAAATGTTTAAAATATAGGATATTTATATGGTTAAAAAAAAATCTTAAAATACATTCAAACTATATCAAAAATTATTGTTGCATTATTAGTTTGATATGTTAACTCGCATTTTTCTTTGATTCAAAAGTTAAACTTGAGCGCTAATTCAACAACTCTAACAAATTAACTTCTTAATTAAAACAATCAGAAAGCTCTAGGATAGTGAATAAAACGTATATATTGTAGATATGGATACGCGTATATGGAGAAGAAGAATAAAGTAATAAATATAATGGTATGAAAAAACATCGATTTTTTGAAATAGATTGTTTTGTAAATGCTACCCACGAAACAGTTTGCAATATTATGTGAATCCTCTCTAAATTAAATGCGTTAATTATATATATTTGCCAAAACCCAAGCTACCAATTTTTTGTTAATTAATTTCTTTAATTTAATATTTTTGATACTCTTAAGATTAATAGCTTTTAAAAAGTAAACACGTACAATACATGAATGCTTTCGAACTAGTACTCCATTAAGAATGGTTGGCGAAATACTTTGCAGTGCGGGGAATTATTTCGTCAAACCGTTGTTAATTTCGTCGCACTTGACGAAATGTGACGAAATTGACGAAATTGACGAAATTGACGAAATTGAAGTTGGCCAATTAAACCGACCAAATTTTCATAACTAATGATCAAAGGTATGGTCAAATATTGATTTTATATATATCATTATAGTGATGTCACCAAAAAAATGGTTTAGATTCGGAACCCTTTGTCTTATCATCACGATAAAAAAGAATCGAGAATGATCACCATGGTAAATACCCAAGGTTACTCTACATATTGAATTGCTATATAAAATGCTATGTATACACAATTAATAAAATTATTAAAACCCTAGGTTCTCAAAAAATGTACTTTGAGGATATGCGTCGATTTTGTTTGAACCTCAAAATTCAGTACGGTATGATCATAACGTTATGAATACCTTATACTAGCAATAATCCACTAGTTTTGAGGTAGTGCCGTCGGTTTGACGAATAGTAAAATAGTTTTTTTTTGGCGGAGAAAACAAATTTTTTTAGGATTAATCATCACTCTACTGACCGGTTATACACACACAATAAGATATACACTACCTGGACAAAAGTCACGCACACCCTAAAACAAATAATTACACAAAAACGTACATATTATTATACAATAATGTCATTTTGCAACCTAGGTCCTATATGCAAATTTTCATTTCTCTAACGTTTCTAAAAAAAATAATAAAACTTGGTCCGAATTTTTTTTTTCAAAAAAATGATCATCAAAAACGATTTTATTTACAAAAAAAATTGCTAAGAACTCACATAATAATCATATTCAAAAATTCAAAAACAAATAAATAACTGATAAAAAAAAAAAGAAATAAAGTTTAATATTAATATCGAGCTGGCCATCCACCACTAGAAATGCATGCCTCAATTCTTCTAGATATGCTTTCTATTAATTTGTAGTATGGAGTTCTTGGCCACACTTTTTGTAAAGCAAGCTTCAAATTCATTGGCATTTTTTGGGTATTGTGTTCGCTTATCTAATTGTCTCCCTAGTTCACTCCAAAGATGTTCAATTGGATTAAGATTGTGAAGACCAAATTAGGTACTTTCATGAAGGCTCAAAATTTTTCCTCTTCGTTTTTTGGCATTTTTACATTTTTAAAAATTTTGATTTTTATAAATGTGATTTTATTTACTAATTTTTTTAATTTTATTATAAATTATTCATGGTAGCCAAAATCACAAAATTTTGCATCCATATTCTAGATAATCTAAGTTACAAATTGACATAAAATTTTATTTTTATTATTACGTAGGATTTTGGGTAAATTCGAGAAACAAAAAATGATATTGTGATTTTTGCCGAGTTTTGGATTTTTTTAATTAGAATTTTTCTAGACATTTTAAGATTACCAAAATTTACATATATATTTATCAAAACCTAAGCTACATTTTGATAAAATTTTATGTATAGTTATTCTGTGTAGTTTTGCGCAATCAGTAAAAACAGGCGTCCAAAAACTTTTGTCTAGAGTGTGTAGCTGGCTTGGTCTAAAAATAGTTAGATGCGAAACATCCTAGCATCCTTTTGTACAATGACGTAGTTTTTCATAAGATAAACTATTTCGTGCCAAAAAACATATACATATATAGACCAAAAAATAAACCAACTTAATTTTAATGCTAAAATAGATAAATTTTTGATCTTGCATAGCATGGCATGCATGATTGCGTAATACATAAAAAAGCAATGCGTTCTCAGTTGTAAAATTTCATTATTATTATTATCACGTGATAAATATCAGCCATTAAAAAATTAAAAAATTCAATTCTTCCAATTCGTTTATTTTTAATATAAATTTTTCGTGTAACACGCCATCTGGGGGGTTAACATAGTAAATTCGTGAACTTTGATGCATCGTTCCTCTATGGTAACATTACATATCAATGAAATGAAATCATTGGATTGTAGGTAAAGGTCTTAGCTTTAATTCTATGATTTGTTTTTTTGGTCATACATTTCCATTTTTGGAGGAGATCAAGGATCTACACAGCCAATAAAAAGTTCAGCGACTAAGTGACTTGCACTATAGAACAAAATGGTACACTACAGCAAATTTCAGGGAATCAATGATGCAAAATCACACATAATAAGTATATATGGCTTGTAGTCTAGGTCCTGTAGAATATGCATGCAAAAATTCATGTTTTCTGATTTTTGCTATGTAATTATTATTATTAAAAAAATTGAAATTCAATTATTCAAAAAAAATAATTTATAGGGTCTAGTACTAGGCCACAAACTACACAGTCAATCTGTTATTCCGTTTAAAATTAGTATTAGCGTTAGGTTTAACAAATTTGGTTTAATGTGGTGGATTTACTGTTTCTTTGGTTTAACAGGGTTGACTACACAGTTGTGTATTTTATAATTTTAACTAAAATAAAAAAATCTATTTTACTGTTTTTTAGAAATAAACAATAATTCTATCTAAATTTATTTGGATTTCCAATTAGACATTTTAAAAAAATATAAGATCATCATTAATGATATTCTCTTTTTAAATATATGTACGTACCAATAATTAATTCAATTAAAACTATTTATTAGATTTGGTGGTGGTTGCTACACAGTGAGGGAAGGTATCAAGCAAGAATGTAAAACATTTGATTATAAAAATTTTTTTACTATGTAAATTCGAACTTTACTATCACTATAGATCTGCGGCGACTAGTGATTTTTTTTAATTGCTTTTTTAGAAATAAAAAATAACGTTTATATATAATAAATAAAATGGATCGCGGCATAAGATCATCATAAATAACGATATTCTTATTTTTTTCCTTTTTAAAATATATATACCAATAATAATCAATCTTAATTCTATCCAAATAAATTCAATTAAAAATTCGAATATATTTGTAAAACTAATACTAATACTAAAGATAAGAAAGGTTTGTAGTTTTTTATGCAAAAAATTTCCTTATTTGTATTTATTTGGTCAATATTGACAAGTTTTTTCATAACGAACTGAACACAGACCTTCCATCCAAACTTAACTTAATGCTTAAAAAAAATAAATAAATAAATAAATAATTTCGCTACGTTGAATTTCAGTCAAAGCCAACATTTTTAATTTTTTTTAAATTTTCAAAAATATTTATTAAAAATCAAGCTTGTTTACAAAACCATTCATAACATCACAGATGGTTATTTAAGATGCCTATTATCATATGCTAAAATCTCAGATGAGGTTATAATGCACGTTTTTATTCAATTCATTTTTTTTTGAAGTGGGAATATTTGGGGAAAAAAAATTCGGACCAAGTTTTATTAGAAACGTTAGAGAAATGAAAATTTGTATATAGATTAATAAGTACCTAGGTTACAAAACGACATTATTTTTTTTGTATATTTATTATGTATGTTTTTATGCAATTATTTGTTTTAGGGTGCGCGTGACTTTTGTCCAGGTAGTGTACATGCAAGCTCATTAAGCCGAGCGCAAGAATTAATTGTTTAAAATAAATAAATGACCAACCTATGAGTTTACATGTGTGTAGGGTTTGAAAGAAGGGTCCAAAAAACAAATCAGTTGATATAGTAATAACATATTACCAGCAATTTTCCCATCACTATCCTTGTCCAAAGTTGATGTATGATGTTAATATATTGGCTGAAATGTTTGCACTATATAAAACGATCAATATATGTATAGGAATCAATCGTCCGTCACGTCACTAAAATTTATTATTTGGTGATAAACAAGTATCACAAGTATCTGATTTGATTGGCTAAATCGATTTCGTCAAAAGATCCTTGGCAACAAATATGAATTTAGTCATGTACAATTTCATCAATTGACTAAATTTCAGCAATTTCGTCAACCATTCTTATACTCCATACTTTTTCTTATCCATCTACTACTTTACAAGTTTTTTATAAAGCGCCTAACTCATTACAAATTAATGCCATGTAATCACAATTCATATACCATTGATTTCCCGAATTGCTAATCTAAGACTGGGAGTTATTTCCAAATTGTTCACGCATTCACTGATAAAATAATTAACCAATGTGTTGTTTGTATTTCTACTTTATTTGATACAAGGATTGTTTATAAGGTAACTACTGCCAACCTTCAAGCACTTGATCTGACTTTGATCTGAAAATTTTAAAAAGTCAACCAAAGTATATATAAAGAAAATACTATTATTTTTTTAATGCGATCGGCATATGACTGATTAAACTTTCATATAGATATTTACAGTCAAACCCTCGTTTAAATTAGCCGATAGAAAAACCTTAGCCGACTAAGCCAAACAACCCTAAGCCGACCAAGAACTTTAAATAAAATTTATCAAATAATATA